TATACTGAAGATTTTTTTTTTCTTTTATATCTAGTATTAATGATACTCATACCATTCAAACTATGCTATAACTCTAAGAGTATAATTCAGAGTAACAAATAAGTAACATAGGACAACATATTATTGTGATTGTGAAATATTAGTTAGTATGAATCATCACACAGCATTGATGTTACTATCATAAATATATATATATATATAGATTTTTTTTAACTTATCTGTTGGGCGCGAACTTTCGTGTTTCCTCTTTAAGTTTAATTTTCAATAATCTTTTCTCACCCGATACTTACATTATAAAATAAAAATATATTCCAAATTTTAGCTTTCTACTCTTAAAAGTTTTAGCTGTGCTTTGACAATCAGTCGGGTCGAACGGTTTTGAAAATAAATGAATTTCCATGCAAAATGGCACGCCCGACACATACTGAAAACTCATGTTCGTTGCCACGAGTAATACAATATGAATGAGTTGTGCTAACATCGTTCCCTCGTCTGACATGTTTATAAGTATTATGCAAGCATTATACCCAAAATGAAACATGTTGGTAACATTCCTTTCAACTCCTACGCGTAAAGTTTGAGAATGTTTTTTTCTATCTGTCACTAAATTGAGGAAATTTTTCATTTCTTCACGTATTATCTACAATTCCTTACTAATATTATAAATGTGAAAGTAAGTTTATTTATTTCTTTCTTAGCTGTTTATTTGTTGGTACCAATTGTCAGCCAATTATCATGAAATTTGATGTACATATAATATTTAGGATAGTGAAGGACATAGGCTAGTTTTTATGCCGGTCAATAAATATTCCTCGGTCACGCGATTGCGGGTAAACACTAGTACATAGTAATTTATTACATTTTGGACTTATTTATAAAAAAAATCAGTGTAAATTAGTCTTTCTGACTAACTGACCAGAAATACATTTACCAATTATCAGTAATATTGCTTTTATTGCTCTCCGATGAAGCGAATGATTTGTTAAAATGGACTAATCAATATACTATTACGTAATTATTTCAATAAAACAATATTGAAAGCAATTTTTATATGTCATTCTATAAAGTTTATAAAATTCAATAATCTTTACTAATATTGTAAATACAAAATCAACTGTTTGTTAGTGCTTTAGCGACTCAACCAATTATCATGTTTCGTATATATGTAGTGTTTTGATTGAACAAGGATTTATGATTTATATTAATTATTTAGAGCTATTGAGTGACAAATAATTGTCACTCAATAGCTAATGTTTTTTTTTTTTCAGGGGAAGTATGGCGCTTTGTGTCACAGCATCTCGTTTCGCACATTGTGTCGACTTCATCATATCAGCCTTTAATTGTCCACTATTGAACATAAGCCACCGCCTAGATTCGAAACAGTATGTGTACTCTGTTACGTCCATAGTACTGTTAATGTCTATAGGCGACCTTTACCACTTTCTATTAAGTGGGCCATCAACTTGTTTGCCATTATAAGTTACATGAGAAAACAATTGGTAACCGCAGTTAGGATTTGAAGATGTTTTAAAAGGGACGATGCTGCTTATCCCTCGCCATCCATTGTGTCGACTTACTTTAAAACAATTGTAGGAAACGATAAACATAGTAAGTTCATAAAATTACCGTTATACATATACATAGACATTCATCAACAGATCATATTAAAAAATTGGCATTAGTTTTAAAAACAATAGCTAATTTGTGGAGAAAGAACTCAATGTACATACGGGCTATTACATACCATATATAGTTGTTCAGAGGCCTCAAAAGAACAAGCTTACTATTACATTTATAATATTAGTAAGGACTGTAACTAGGTTTTGAAAAAGATAGTAAATATAAAAGTAAAAAATTATAAAACAAAAGAATGAAGAAGAAAAATTGGGTGGATTTTGTAAAAAATGATATACATAAAAGAAGAGTGAGCTCAGGTATGATGACTGATAGAGATCAGTGGAAAACGAAGACGTACTGCGCCACCCCTAATAAATGGGATATAGGCAAAGAAATGATGATAATATATTGCGACGATAGCTAAGAAATATAAATACCTAATTTATTTTGATAACGGTTCGTCTTGAAAATTAATTATAAAAGATTATTAGCTATGAAAAATTGAATAAATGTAAGCATCAAACAACAGCATAATGAATATTTCTAGGAATATGAAAATTTTAATTGGTAAAATTTATTTTAATGTTTTCTTCAAACGGAATCAATAACTTGGTGCTAAATTAAAAGGAATATTTTTATTATAAAGGAAATTTAAAATGTAATAGAAAAAAAATACGCAGATATCTATACATATGGGTTTACATATAGGTTGAGGTCTCGCTCCTGACTTCTTCATATACAATATAAAGTTTTATAATTAAATTAAATTTAAATGATAGATGAGCAAAAATTCATCTGAATTGCCTGCTCCCCGTTAGCCAATACCTAGGATTGCCAGGTGAGAGCAAATACAATAATTTTAATAAATGTTTCCGTCATTATATTTTTCTAAAAGATTTAACCAAACGTATTTATGTTTGGTCATATTTTTATATGTACCATACAATATCAGCCAGTAACCATCCACTGCTGGACAAAGGCCTTCCCCATGAGAAGAGTTGCCACGAGTTGCCTTGCTTGGCAAGCGGGTTGGCAACCGTAGATAGGCTTTGGTAATGTTTTAAGAGGGATCCTGTTGCCCATCCCTTGACAATTAAATTCCCTTAATCCCTTAGTCGCCTCTTACGACACTTACGGGAAAGGAAGCGATGATCCATTCTATACCAGGACCACATGACACTATTTTTTTATACACGGTAACATATGGTTGCCCATAAAAATGACGGTAAATTAGGATTGCTAGCAATCCATAATATACGTGACTTATATAAGAATACTTGGCTATAATTTTATATCTAAAGTTTTATTCTAGACGAATGGCGCTTACATAATTATAGGAAATAATTTCTTTTCAGGAAAAGTTACACTAAACCAAAATTTATTATTTTCTTTGAACAGCTATATAAGGTTTACTATAAAAAAAATATTCACAAATAAATAGGTTGCAACTAATTAAGAGCAGATGACATGGACGCATTATATTATATTTTTGCACATCTATCATTTAAACTAAATTTTGTTAAAAGCCTTTTATACCTGCAGATGTCAGCAACGGAATCTCAACCTAATAGTAAATGCATAAAAGTCACATGAGAAAACTATCTATTCAGGATATTAGAAAATAATGGTGTACTCATAAAGCAGCAAATGAAAATTTTAATAAAGTGAAATATTTCAAAATTAGTTAGCACCCATAACTTCGTCTGCGTGACCGGTATTGAATAACTGAAATATAAGTAGGCGTGGCACCATTTATATTTTTTTTTAATATATCAGCTGTTAAGTGTCCACTGGTGAACATAAGCCTCCCCCATAGCATAGCACCATACTTCATCTCATTTAATACGTGTATACTTTTTATGACGAATGAATTGTTAAGATGCCAAAAGGTCACAAATAAACTCACTTGAACATTTAAAGTATTATTAAAAAGTATTTACCTTCACAATTTGTAAAGCAATAAAAATCTACTTAACTTTTTACAAACTTTTATATGTAAGTTATTTTGTTAAAAATTTACAATCTATTATGCTAAAATTTGACATAGTTATGCAAGTTCAGTAATAATACAATATTATGTATATTAATGTATATTAACACGTGAACTACTCATAATAATTTCATTGTATTTATATGTATTTAATTCTGTCTTGATAAAAACTATAACCATATGTGTAGAGCCTGATGACGACGCTGAAAGGATATAAAAATTTATTTTGGAAAATATTTTTAAACAGACTTGTTTAATGATCCCACAAATTAAGGCAAGAAATTAAGTTTACATGAGAGTTCCGTAATTTTTAGATTAATAATGAACTCGCCTACACTTTTAATTAACTTTGCTAATCAAAGCCACATGGCACTATACGTTTGTTTAAAAACATGCCCACATCTCTCTTTGCATGAAATACTGTAAAGTGAAATTGGTTTGAAAATAAGGGTTTATTTTTTATGAATACCTTTACGATATTATGTCTTTGTTACTAGAATGTAATTTATATCTAATACACGTGTTATCAATTACGTCAGGAATTCAGAATTATTATATTACGAGTATATTAGATTTCAGAATAGTCACTTCTAAACCAGATTTTCAAAATTCTTTTTGAAATTCATCTTATCTTTCTCATCATTTTATCTTATATTTATTTGTAAACTTCGGCATTTCGCTTATGATTATTGGCGAAACATAATTTTATATTATTATATTGTGTCTAAAAGTGGGATACAGAAATATATATAGTATTTGTGTTTAAGCTAAAATATGGTCTATTTATATACTAAATTTCATTTAAATCCATCCAGTATTTAAGCACTAAATAACAAACATCATTGAAATATAATTAAATAATAGAAAAGAATAACTTTTCTACTATTTTTATGTTAAATATTTTCATGAATTTATTTTTAAGATTACAAAATTAATTTATTTTATTTTTTAAATAAAATAAAAACGACCGTATTCTTAAAGGTGATAGTCAAAGGCAAATTTGTTAATTTTGTTTATAGTACTCTAATTTTTTTTTTGTATAGAAGCATAACATATTATTTCAAATTTACGTCATAAAATTTAAAAACTTCAAATAGACTTGTTTACAAGTACTTTTAGATCGTAATTTTTTATGAATCTACTACAAGATACGAAACGTTGTTATCTACTGAAAAAATCCGCAAGAAACTCAACAGTTAAAGTTTTATAACCATGCCTATTGCGAATTCAAATATCTCACTGCGCTATAAAATTCCCCTGACGATATTACAAACGCAGCGACACAATACTTATATAGTCAAAGACTGAATAAAAAGAACATAAAAACTTTTATTTCACACTAATCCTACATGGTTTTTCTTGTTTATAATTATCGAAACTTTATAAAATTTACCTTTAACCCACTGCGACAACTCGTAGAAGATACCCAATTCACATTGCATACTATATAAAAAGTTTGCTCAGTTGTTTATATTACGTATGTATTTGTTTATTTTCGTGTGTAGTGCCGTGACCGCCGCTGGGACGCGTGCTTACGGCAGCGAAGGCGCGCGATCACTGAAACGAAACTGAAGAATGAAGCCCAGTAGGTGTCGTATTGTAAGCTGTCGTAGCACCCATTAAGGTTATATTACATATACCTGCTGTTTTTTTTTTGTGGACTAAAATGTTGCTTCGCAGACAAATTACTTCAATGGTGACAAATACATATAAATCACGAGATATTTCATAGACACGTAAAATAGAAAGTGGTTTAATTTAGAAATCGTGTTTTACTACTAATTATTAGTAGATTTTGCTTTAACTAACAAACTAAATTATCTATTTATTGCTCTCTAAAGAAAAACGACAGACTCGTTCGTCATAAAATGAATATAGCATCGTAACGGGATTATTTATATTTAAAATAGACCAGAAATGTCTAAAATAAATATATATAAATAAAAAAAATTTACCGGCTACAAAAAAAGAAAATATTATTATCAAAACAATCAATATGATTTTTTTTATCCGAATTGTTTATTGCTGCCTCCTCGGTGAGATCCGTTGCGCAGTGGTAGACATGTTACTTTAGATAAATGAGGTCCTGAGTTTGATCTTCGATCCGGCCGATTTTAACAACGAACTTTTCTTGAGTTGATTTTGGTCCAAATGTTCTGGGTTGTGCCCTATGATGATGATGATGATAATGATGATGATCTTCGTCTGATCACACAAGATATTTTGGCTTAAAGACGAAACTATCTGAGCATTTACCACTTATTATAGTTCTCATATTCGATGTTATATATATATATATATATATATATATATATATATGTATATATATATGTATATATATATACACATATATATATATATATATATATATATATATATTGGATATATATATATATATTTATATATATATATTTATATAATAGGAACTTAATGAACTCACCATATTTTGTCGTTACCGACAAATAAAATATAATATTCCTATTTCTCAAATTTATTGAATTAATTTTTCCGCAGTCGAAAACAATGATCTACCTTTTTAGCTCTCAATAAGTATCGATTTTATTTTAATACTCTATACAAATAACATTTCTTTAATTTAAAATGTTTATTTATTACTAAAACATTAGTATCGATATAAAATGAGTAGACACTTGTCTTTGTATTGCCTTGAGTTTGAGTCTTTGTATTTGAGCATTAACATTCCTTGAGATACCTTAAATAATGATAATAGAATTTTCATTTGTATCTTTCCCTCCTCAAAATGTGCACTTAACCTTGATACTAATATTTTACAGAAGTAGGTGTTATTTTGCGGAAGTCCATATTTCTGGTTAGGTTCTACTAATAATAAAAAGAGTCAATCCTCAAATGTTCGGAGTCGCACGCATACTAATAGTAGCGGAATTAAACAAAATAATTCTAATCAACGTTACCATTAATATCGAATAGATAAATTGTAATATATATTGTATATTTTTACTCCACGCAACTACCTTTTACTTTGAATTGTCAATGTTTTATTGGGGGGGACCTGGTGTCTAAGATACAAGTTACGACTTAGTTTAGGGGTCTAGATCTCCCACAAATTACGATACTTTTATTTTGTATAAATTAAATAATCTATACATTGTAATTTGTAGAGATGAATAAACTAATTTTTATTTATTTATTTATTTTATACTTTTTATACCTTATCATATGTCATATAAAACATAAATATAAAAAGATGAAAACTAAACGTATTGTAATTCCAATAATTATAAAGAGGAAAGATTCAATTTCTTTTGTTTCTAATAAATAAATACAAAAATACTTAAACGATGTAAAAAAAAATGTTTATTTCTGTTTAATAAAAATGTGCCGATGTTTAAAAAAATTAAAGCTGCATTATTAGCGTGTAACAAAAACTACTCTATTTAATAATAAAAACTGCTATACTGAATTGCAGCGGGTCGGTAGTTATAGGATGCTACCAAGGAAGTCGTAACTTATTATAATTAAATAAAATTATTCCATCTGAAGCTGAAATCAAAAGGCCGGAACTAACGAACATACATGAAACGATTTATGAAAATGCAAGAAGTAAAAAATGTATGTAAGAATAGAAGCCTTCAGTACTCGGTTATCTCTGCCTACCCCACAAAAGCAATGATGGGGAGATAGATATTGTAATAACTTTAGCTTTAAAAGGATAAAAGTTAATAAATAAATCATCACCATCATCTCAGCCATTATCTGTCCACTGCTGTACATAGGCCTCCCCTATAGACTGCCATAAGGAACAGTTCTAAACCACCTGCATCCATTGACTTCCTACAATGCAATAAATAAATAACGTATAGAAAAAAAATAGAAATAATAAATAGTTAATACAAATATATAAATATATATATTATTTTTAATGAGTCTTATTTTCTAATCTCCATTTTTATTTGCTTATTATTATATTGTGTAGCTTTGCATGCATAATTATGATTTGATTTGAAGGGACCTAGTCATTTCACTCCCACATATAACAATATATTAGACAGACCTACAGACGATAGAAGCCAATTGTTATTAAAGTAAGATTATTTATTAGTGTATTCTTTGTTCATACCTATAGAGAACGGTTATAAAAAAAGAAATGCGATACAGAAATATTAGTATCGTACATCAATTGTAACCATTTCCAAAAGACAATGGTTACCACGTTCCACCAGATGAAAAAATACCCAAATGCATTTGAAGTCGTCACTCCATCTAGTACGGGGTCGTTTTACACTGCATTTATCCGTACGGGTTCGCCACTCAAGAATCTTTGTTCCGTTACGGTCTTGGTGGGTCATGCAAAAGTTTAAATTTTTTATATTTAATGCACCCTGCAGTGTGCATAAAAAATATCTATACGATAGTGAAACTTATCAAAAACCATTGACTAATTTAGAATAAGTAGGCGGAAAAACAAACATACTGCGAACATGGACTTTGTTGTGTACTATTTAATGATAGAATAATAAATTACAATCATACTCCTGATGAAGGTCATAACCAATTCTCAAAGAAGATAAGTTAAACACGCCATATTATTAATTATATAAATTAAAATTGCTCAATTTCTTGATTAAATAATTACTTTGAATGCGTGGGTGCTAGGTGCGTAGTAACAACATTTTAATCGTTAGAAATGGCGGCGCATAAATGATAACTTGTATTTTGTAAAGTCCCTCATTGAAAGTTGTAGACATGAAGAATCTTTCTGTCATTTAAATAAATTAAATATTTCAAACGTACTTACACGAAAAACATGTAATTGTGTTTTCTATATTATTTAAATTAAATCCAGGTACAATGCTCTTTATTCTAAGTACATTCACTTAAAACTAATTCTACTTCAAAACTTAAAAGTAAATAGAAATCATAGTGTTTATACTCCCGCCAAAACTGCTTCGAGCATATATTGTGCAAATTAATGTCCTATTGTCTATCTCGCTCTAACATACAGTCATTACATAATATTCTCCCTTTCACATTTTTCATCCAGGAGTTTCAAAAAATTTAAGTCAATCATGCGCTTACAGTTACACTTTATTATCTGAAAAAGAAAGTCTTTATTTTCTCCACTTTCATTTACTTTTTAATGTGATAAATTCCATACTATAATATGCTACATCATTTTTTAATATTTTGTACATAGAGTTTATTTAAAAGAAAATATTTTACATAACTAACTATTTATTTAATTCTTCATTGCACCAAAAACATAATACAATATAGTAGCACTATACTGATTAAAGTAAAGGTACAAAAGGCGGTCTTATCGCTAAGGCAATCTCTTACAGATAATCTTTGGTTAAAGGAGTATAAACGGAATATATATTGTTAATAGTATATTAAATTTTTCAAAGTTTTATATATTTTACTCGTAATAACGCGCTTCATTTGATGCGACATCTCACCCTATCCACAATGTATTTATAAACATATCGCAGCATCCCCGGAGTAATCAAAGTTATGTAACTTTGTCGTTTATCGTATACATCCAATGTTATCTCGGAATTAACGGTACATGGAATATCACACTGAGAGCTACACATGTATACATTTAAAAAAGTTATTTTACTTTTTTTATGTAACTTAAATAATAAACAATTATTACCAGAGGGAGACTTTGTACAAAAGACGTTTGCTTGGGCATCTCTGTCCCATTTGTGTTTCTACCATGAAGCAGTTGTTTGCACGACTGTGTTACGGTTTGAAGGGTGAAATATGGCAGTGAATTTACAGGGTACAGAAGAATAACATCTGAATCCTCAGGAATGGCAATGCATGGGGTGTATCGTGGGCGAAATAGTATACTCTGTTATGTGCATCATACTACTCATGTCTATAGGCGACGGTTACCAATTTCCATCAAGTGGGCCGTCAGCTTGTTTGCCATTCTAAATTGCATAAAGAATATATGAACAGCACCATCGACTTTAAAGAAGATACTGTTACCCCACATGCGTTACTACTAGTGAGGACTCAAGTATTATGTTTCTGTGCCCTGTAATTTTACTGTCTTATCCTAAACAGAAAGGGCAATGGAAACACTTGTATTTGCTAGCAGAAACACAAGTGAAACAGAGGTACCCATACTGAATTTTCTCACTAGTACGTAATACGTATAACGCCATATATACGTAAGTATTACTTATGCATCTTAGATTATATAGATACAGCCTCGAGTCTCAAAAAAGAATCAACTAATTGTCAAATTAGCGGACACATTTTATTATCAGTGTTAAATAAAATTATTTTTTAACCAAACTAAATATGGAAGTTATAAAGGAAACGCTAATAACTATTTATCACACAAATTTGTATGAAAAATTTGACCTGCTTTTCTCGAAGCATTTGTATGGAAACACTCTATCCATATAATCTAAGCTATGCATATAAAAAAGCTATTTTATATCAATCACATACCAACTTTATATTGTTGTCTATTGTAAATACACAAATTATTACATTCAAATAAAAGAAAAATACAAACAAATCTAAGGTAAAAAGTAAAAAGTAGAA